CAAGTTCTCTATGGCTTTAAAGCCTTGCATAGATGGCTTGAAAGCAGGGTGTTGTCCATATTTGAGCATAGACTCATCTTTTTTGACAGGCAAATGGAATGGTCAATTGGCGGCATGCAATGCTTTAGATGGACACAACTGGATGTTCCCTCTTGCTATTGGTTTGTTTCAGTCAGAGACAGAAGTTTCATGGACATGGTTCATGATGCAGTTGAAAAGATGCATAGGGCCAGTGTCACCTTTGGCAGTACACACAGATGCATGTAAAGGGCTAGAAAATGCAGTGAAGAATCTTTTTCCCTATTGTGAGCAGAGGGAGTGCTTTGGCCATATGTGGATGGATTTGATCAAAAAATTAGAGGGGAAGAATTTGGGAGAATGTGGTCAGCAGCAAGATATTACACCTCATATCAGCTTGATAAGATAAAAGCAGCATGCAGTGAGTTTGGCCCATGGTTGAACACCTATCATTCTCTATTGTGGTATAGGTTAGGATTTAACAGTGCCATCAAGTGTGATCATATCAACAATAACTTGGCAGAAAGTTTTAACAACAAGATAAAGCAGTTAAAGAACTTGCTTGTGCATGACATGGTCGACCAGATCAGGATCATGATCATGCGCATATGGGAATTGAGAAGAAGGATTGCTGATTGTCTACAAGGGGTTAAGCATCCTGCAGTGGTACAACAGGTGGTGAACAGGAGCAGGAATCTTACACATTTGTCTGTTGAAAAATCTTCATTGTGGGTGCTGAAGTTAGAGATACCAAGACTAGAAGGAGGCATGTTGTTAACATTGAGTTGCATGACTGCACTTGCCTCGAGCGGCAACACACCGGGAAACCTTGTGACCATGCCATACTTTTCTTGGCCTCCCAACCCAAGATAAACATGCACCCATACTTGCATGAATACTACTCAGTGGCAAGATTCAAGGCTGCATATGCAACTCCAATTCCAGCACTTACAGATCAGTCTCAGTGGCCTGAAGTGGAAATTGAATTTTCCATGTGTCCTCCCCTAACAAAATGAAAAGCTGGCAGGCCTAAAGAGAGTAGATTCAAGGCATGGTTTGAGAAAGGTAGGAGTTGTAAAAAGGGGAAGGGGAAGAAGGATGCAAAGCCAAAAAGGTCCCAAAAAGGTAACAAAAATAGATTCAAGTTGTGCCAGGAACTAGGGCACCAAAACGGATCTCCAAAATGTCATTACACTCCTGAAAGGCCAAAGTATGTTTACATTTGTGTTTTTTTAATTTGGTTGTTGTATTTAATTACTAGCCAAATTACAAGCTTTGCTTTCCAGGAGGAAGCGTGGAGGTCAAGCCCTTGTTTTTGAAAATTGATGGGCAATCAAAAAGGAAATAATCAATGGCTGTAGAAAAAGAGAAGTTATGGTGATGAACTAGAGTCGGATGATGCTGCGGTGCAAAATGAGCAAGAGTTGGATGATGCTGTGGTGCAAAATGAGCAAGAGTTGGATGATGTTGTGATGCAAAATGAGGCAGTCTTTGATCTTGTGATGCATCATGACCAACATTTGGATGATGATGTGATGCAGAATGTGGTGCAAACTAAAGCTGTTGTGGTAGATGTTCTGCAAACTGAAACTAAAATTGAAGATGTTCTGCAAACTGAAGTTGTTGCGGCAGATGTGATGCAAACTGAGCCTATATTGCAAGTTGTATTACCAATTGAAGCTACTGGAGTTGTTGTGCAAACTGAGCCTCATGTAGATGTTGTGGTGCCAACTCCAGCTGTCCTAGCAAGTCCAGTTATGAAAATCAAGCATTTGAGTGAACTAGGTGTCGTACGATCAAAAAGTGGTAAGTAGAAGAAGAAATCGAGTGCTAAGAAGAAGTGAAAACTTCATTTGTCAAACTTGTGTATGGTGATGTGTGTTGTGTAATGCTATTTAAATTCTGGCCGAATTTCAAATTTGACCCAAGATTCAAGTTTGACCCAAAATTAAAATTTGTTTAGTATGTGGTATTGATGGTACAATGCTTTAGTATTAGTCATATGCATGTTAAGCGATCAATCCGAGCACTTATTGTTGATGTGAAGAACTTGCCTCAATGAGCTCCGAAGCTAGGCTAAACACCCCATTCCTAAGCAAAAAAATTCAACCTTTTATAAATGGGCCAAAAATCTAAAATTGACATCTAGTGTGCAAATATAGGGTCCATGTCAAATATAGGATCATTTGGATAAACTATGACAAGCTTAGCCCTAAACCCTAGCTAGCTTGAATCACATGCAACCTCGTTCATGATAGCTATGTTGTGTGAAGGGTTTTTCACGAAAATACCCATAGACTAAGTTTCTTATTTTTCCCAGCAACTCACTCACGTAATATGATGATGGGTGAAAGTTTCATATTTTTATGATTTTTTTGAATTAGTTATGCTCAACCCTAGCTTGAATCCCATGCAACCTCGTTCATGATAGCTATGTTTTGTGAAGGGTTTTCCATGAAAATACCCATAGACCAAGTTTCTTATTTTTTCCAGCAACTCACTCACATAATTTGATGATGGGTGAAAATTTCATATTTTTATGATTTTTTTGAATTAGTTATGCTCAACCCTAGCCATCAAAACCCTCTCAAAACCCCTCATAACCCCATCTGAAACCCCGCATCCTTCCGAGCCGCTAGATCTCTGTTAGTGAACGGTCTGGATCAGGCGCTAAGGCCACGTCACTGATCCGTGTGATGCTCTGTGATT